GTCTTATAATCTGGCATTTCTTTAAAGTCCATTTTAGAATACTTATTCAAGTTGTCCTCCTCTGCTATTTTGTCCAGTAAAATCTTTTCTTCTTCTACAACCTCTGTCAGGCCCAATTTTATAGATAGTTCCTGGACATATTGATTCCAAACAGCTAAAAATTCTTTGAAAGAAGGATACTCCTCCATTATGTTAAAAGAGATATATTGTTAGTGTCTGTTCCGAAGGCTCTGTCTTATGCTTATTTTCAGAAGCCAAACTTACCCAGGGCAGATTTTCTTGCAATTAAATCCAAATTCACTTACTGTATTTTCTTAAACATTTAAAACAATCCATTAAAAAGCTGTTTCAAATCTAGTCTCTTAATTGTCCCCAATCAACATTCTTAATTCCCTCTCGCTGTTTCCAAACACTGAAATATTTATTTTTGATCTTTAAACTTACTTTGGTCTTCTTTCTCCCAGGATAATAGGAATTTCTCCTGGTATACAGCAAATTGTCTTTCAGGAGATTTTTAATTGCCAAATAAATCACAAATAGGCAGTTTACGATGTTACTTAAAAGAGGAAGTAAAGCAGATCTAGCTTCTGTTTGAAGGCTCCGCACCATGGCTTGGGCTCGATGTTTCCCTCGACTCCTAGAGCCCTCCACCCGCTAGAGATTGCTAGATTGCAATCTCTTCACAGTCAGGAGTACCCATGGGTGATCCTGTTGATCTCCTTTATCTGGAGATGACTTCGAAGAGCTGGACTGAGGCCAACTCCTCTAATTGTTGTGGGCATTGGCTCCACAAAGAACGGAGCCATATTCATTTGGCCCTTTCTTCCCTGGAAGCCCCAAAACATCAATTTTTAAAATGTCAACTTTTATTGAAAATGTCGGTTTTAAAAAAGAATGTTAAATTAATGATGGGATGAGGGTTGTATTAAACGGAGCTCTGGAAAAGATTGTGTGGGAAAAGCAAAATACACTTATTCAAAGTTTAGCCCATTCCATGTTGTACTAAGCAGCCTTGCAATGCTTTATATAAGCTACTTAATTAAAATTTTTAATTTATTTAATTATTACTTATTACTAAAAAATGATTATAAATTTGTTTGAGCTAGTTTGGTGTAGTGTTTAGGATGTTGGCCTAGAAACCAGGAGACTGTGAGTTCTAGGCCTGCCTTAGGCATGAAAGCTGGCTGGATGACTTTGAGCCAGTTACTCTCTCTCAGCCCTAGGAAGGGGGCAATGGCTAATAATAATAAATAATAATAATAATAATGCCACCTATAACATACTCACTGCCTCAGGTGTCTTAAATTTTGTCTTTGTATTTCCCATCTAGGTTTGTAAGAGAATGGATTTAGTCTGCCAGAGAATGCTAAACCAGGGATTTCTGAAAGTGGAAAGATACCATAACTTGTGTCAGAAACAGGTTAAAGCACAACTTCCAAGGTATGTGGTCAACAAAATTGAGGGTCAGAGGTAATATGATCTAAAAATCTGTATGTACAGATGATATTCAAGAAAAACTTCCATATGCAATCATGTAAAGCAAATATTTAACAGATGAAATTATTCCCATCTTGTGGCAGAACCACTGTTATGACATGTAAACAGAACAGCAGGGAGATGTACCACTTGCCTCCTTTGTGTCTGCCTAGTGATTTGGTACTTGGCATTCTGAGCCTGAAATGTTTTGAAAGTGACCATCACTTTCTCCCTCTGTTTCAGCTGAGATTGCTGCATTCAAGTTCAGAGTCAGTTCTGCAATGATGACATGCAGATGATAAGCTATAATAGTGTTGCAGGTGATTCTGATTATGCATGTTATATGTATTAGACTGGATCCAGATTTCATCATTCTCAGAGTTAGTTATTTGTTCATTATTTCATTAAAAAAGGTTTTCTGAGAAGATAAGAAAATTACTAAAACATTTTGAAAAAAGGTAAAACACTATAAATGCACTTCATAAATAAACAGTACAGGAAAGATATAAAATGTAAAATTCACATCCCAGAATAGAACAGACATTTAAACTAAGCATAAATTAAAGCAATGCCTGATATACCAGGCATGCCATCCAGAAGAACAATGGTACCATGCTATCCCTGCTCAGATAGGGGCATCAGACCAAGCTGATGAAAGGTGCTCCTAACCACAATTGCTATCTGTGTCTCCAGTGACAGAGTTGGTTCCAGGAGGATAATCAAATGGGATATTTCAAAACGAAATGCAAACTGAGGACTCTCCATCCAGGCAAACAATTCACTACTGAGTTTTAGTTATTATAAGGTGCTCATTCACTCCATTATTGTGCTTAGGCATCAGTTCAAGTCATCCATTACTTCACATGAGTTAAAGAAGTAAAGCTGCTTATTATTTGAATATTATTGATATTTGGCCTATAGTGCCTAAGAGTAGGACAAGTACATTTGGGTGGAAACTTTACAGAGAGAGATCTAAACTCAAAATAAGGAAGAATTTCCTGACTGTGAAAGTGGTTAAGCAGTGGAAAGCCTGCCTCGTGAAGTTATGGGTACTCATGAAGATTGGACAGCCATTTGTCCAGGATGGTCTGAGGATTCCTGCCCTGGGCAGGGGGCTGGACTAGAAGACCTCCAAGATCTCTTCCAACCCTTTGATTCTGTGGTGGCTGATGCACAATTATGGGTCCAATAGAAGTAAATATGCATAGCTCAGGGTTGAACTGTGGAGTCCTTGAGGTTCTCAACCAAGCTCAGAGAACCCCAAGGACTCCACAAATATGGGCCAGTTGTTTGTACTACTACTACTACTACTACCAATTTTTTAAACTTGTAAGCCACCTGATTCGCAATGATTCTGGGCAGCTCACAACAGTCAAACAAAGAAATTACAATAAAATCAATAAAAGATAAAGATAAAAGAAGGCAAGCGCAACAAACAGATAGAATGAAGCAAGAGGTCTCAGTCTCCCTCACCAAACAGCTGGGTGAACAACCAGGTCTTCATGGCTCTTCTAAACAACATCTGGATCTTGGGGGAATCTCGTTCCAAGGACAGCGCTGCTACAGAGAAGGTGCACTTCCGAGGTCCCGATTGATGATGTTCAATCAAAGGAACCTGGAGTGTCCCAACCCTGCGGGATCAAATTGGCCAGGCAGATGCTATGGGAGACAGGCAGTCCCTCAAGTGACCAGGCCCTATGCCCTGTAGGGCTTTATAGGTAACAATCTATAACAACCTACTAGTGGGAATCTGAACCCAAAGTACACTCTGATAGATTAAACTATATAATAATAGCTTCCTTTCAGTATAAGAAACTTCTACTATGCCACAGTACTTATTTTTAGAATGTGCTGACCAATTCAATTTGTTGATAGAGGCCTGATATTGCAATATTTTGCTCAGGTGTCTATCTCCCAGTCTTCTGTCTGCTTCTTTAGTTTTCTGCTCTTGATTGTTGCCAGGATCTATCAAAGCTCTTCTAATTTATATCTCCCTTGTTCATTTACATTTAGTTTGCCATATTCTACACAAAGCGTCTCACAAAGCAGTGTATGATGTAACAAATCTAAAATGAATTTTAAATAGCATCATTAAAATGTCCTAACGCTAGAAATAATTGCACCTAAAAAAGCAGTGCTAAGAATCATCATATCTCAGGCCAGCAAGATTTCATCTTAAATCATCTGCAACATGAAATATGACAGAGCTTGGATATATAGTTCATGTATGAAGATAGAGTGCTAGGCATGTTAATAGGGGTTTGTTGATATGTGTCAGTTGGTTACTAAAGGACAGAATATACGTTTTAGAAATACAGAGCAGAGTGAATGTGTGGATTGAGGAGCAAGCAATATTTTCTGTAACTGTATTTGTGCATTACATGCATTATAATTATAAAAATTAGCAAGTATTAAATATTAACCGCCTTGAGTTCTTGGAAAAAGGAAAATCTAATAAGTAAATAAATAATTAAATCCGTATGTGTACAAAAGGTGTACACATAGTGGTTCACCCACTTTTCTTTCAGTTTCAATCCATTACATCACCTGCATCTGCTCCAGAATTCTTTGCCTCTGTATTTAGATCCAGAATGTATAATTTGCTGCAGACTACTGTTTTGAATTCTAGTTTTTAGCTTTGTGTTATAGCAGGAAATAAACCAGTTTTTAATGTTTGTGACAGAAAATTAGGACCCTTCATATGTTAGACTGTACAGATAATTTACCAAAGCACTTTGCTTAAAGCTCCCCTCTGGACCCACTCATTGAAGTGACTGTACCAAGTCTTTGGGGAGTTTCATTGCTTCATTGCTCTAAGTAGAGCAATGTTCATTCATGAGAAAAGCACCATGAATAATTTGCATCAGCTGCATCTGAAGTTTGAAGTTAAGGTCCATACATGAGAAACAGATGTTCAGTATTTAAAAGCAGATTTTAAGCACCAACTCCAAGAATGTTTCTCATATGGACTGTAATTATTTGCAATCTGTAAATAAAACCATTCTATGGATTCCATTGCTGCTTAAAGTAAAATTGGTTACTTCTTGATATAACTCTTTCTCAGCATTCATTACATTAAGTAAGT